GTGGGGCCTGAACTCTGGGCCTGGGCGCTGTCCCTCAGCTCTTCAGCTCAAGGCTAGCACTCTTACCACTTGAGCCACAGCGCCACTTCCGGCTTTTTTCTTTTTGCTTATGTGGTGCTGAGGAATCGAACCCAGGGCCTTAAGCATGCACGACAAGTGATCTACCACTGAGCCACCTTCCCAGCCTCTATAACTACATTTCATAGTCACTGGATAGCTTTTAAATGCAAAAAGTCTGACCCAAACTAAAAGATTCCCTTTTCAGTCAATGACTCATCAATCATCAACAGCATCTGAGGATGTATATGAGAAACTACACATTTACAACACCTGGGCTTAAACTCTCATCTTTCCAGCAGCCTGTTATTGCAATCAGTACACTGGGAAAAACTTCTGTAGGTGCTTTGCTCCTGAGTGCCAAAAGACTAGAACCCCTAACACTAGGCATGTTTTATGCAAATTTTATCCTCTGGGTATGTTTAAGTACAGATGTGAGGGTTTTATTTTCTAATAGTTCAAATAATAAACTCAATACACTGTATATAGTTTATGGCTGTGCTATCAGATTCCTTAATCCAAGTCTTCATCATCCCTTGCATTACACTCCTGGTTCCAATGTCCCAATTAGCCTAAACTACCAATTTGTTTCCTGTGGCCTTCTTCCTCTGCTTTCCAGCAAAGTAAATTTTCACAAAACTTAGACAAAAGCTTACATGATTCACAATTACAGTTTTCCTTTCTGTTTAAGATTATATACCACTTCCCTGTATAACTACACTACAAAGTACAGTACTGCTGCTCTTCCAGTCTAACAGAAGTTTCAGTGTATACATGAAACTGAGATGTGGGTGGCAAGTCAGTAACACGAGGGAAGAGAAGAAATGTAGCAAGTATGAATGTGCGTATATACATATATTTTATATTTATATATATATATATATATATATATATATATATATGGAAAATTGTCTCTCCAGCAACGTAAAATTTCCTAATCTAAACAGGAGTTCTACTACAGCCATATTCACAATTTTAAAGACCAATGTAAGCAATGTAGTCTTTTTCCCCCCATATCTTAGAGTTCATTTTGATTAGCATCATTTTATATGGTCATATGTACATAGCTATTGAGCTATTGTGATACTCTGGTAGAACTATCCTAGAAATATACTATTTATTACAAATGAGGGAAACCATGGAGACTATGTTTCTTTGGGTCTAGCTTACTTCACATAATATGATTTATTTTCCAAGTCTTCCATTTCCTTATCAATGGGGCAATGCCATTCTTTCTGATGGATGCTTAGAATTTCACTGTGTATATATACCGCAAACGATGTATTCTTACAAAGCACAAAATCATTACAATATATAAGGCACATAGGCATGAAGTCTCAACAGAATGTGATACATAGCTTCTTAACAGATTATTTAGGGAGAAGATCACATTTTAGGTTCTGTTTGAGGCTAATTATGATAAATATTTCTTACTGAGATCAAAGCTTTCCAAATCACCCATGGCACCCCTGTACAATGACAATTCATCAACCAGGGAAGATATGCAATCAAGTTGACCAGCTAAACTAAATGCAAGGGCACAGAAGCTCCTTTTACATTGCAAACACCCACTTAACAGCTCTCAGGAAGCTGAAAATAAAACTTCTTCCTAACTACATGAGAACTAGCTGGCATAGTGTCCTCCAAGTGGAAAGTCCCTACCTTAGATAGGTCTTCAGAGCACTAGTGATGGTTTTTATCTCCCATTCGGCACAGATATCGGTTTCAGTTTCTGAAGCTGTTTTAGGGTCTAAAATAAAGAAAAGACAATGTGTAAATCAGAGCATGAAATATAACAAGCACACATAAAAACATTCAACCTTGTTAGAAATGGGAGAAATGCAAACTGAAACAAAAATGACACATTATTTTTTTTGTCTATTACGTCAAGGAAAAGTTTAAAAATCCAAATGTCTGGGAAAAAAAGGCAGTGAAACAGATGCTCTCATAAATTCCTGGAGGCAGCAGAGATAAATGCAAGTTTTGAAAAACAATTTGGCAATATGCATCATCAAAAGTCTTAAAAATGTTTATACCCTCTGAACTGGTAATCCTATTTCTCACAATCTCTCCTCAGAAAGAGAAAACATGAGAAAAGTTACATATCCTAGAAATATTCAGCATATGCTACTCTTTATAACAGTGAAAGGGATGGGCAGAGAAAGGAGACAACCTAAATGTTTGACCACAGAAGAGTGGCTCAGTGAATTACAGTATGTCTCCCTAATGGAATACTGTGTTGCCATTCTCATGATGCTATGTAGCATGAAAAATGTGTATTACATAATGTCAAGTAAAAAATGATAAGAAAATTGTGAGAAACCCATATTAACAAAAGTTGAAAGGAAATGCTCTAAAATTAAATTAGTGGCTGGGTTTAAACAGTGGAACTTTTTATTCTTTCTAAACTGTACATGATTTGATCCCATTTCTTTCACATAAATTTGAAACTGCCTTAAGCCTAGATATGCAATGAGCCACTGACATAACTCATCATTTCTTCCTGATCATTTTTTCTTTCTTTTCTTGCATGGAATTTTAAACATATATCCACATGTGCATGCTAAGCGTATTATCAGAGAAGCAACAGAGAATGCTTATAGTCTCCCTGAGCAACACATGGGCAGTTCAGAAGAAGTGGCAGAGTTTGAGAATTGTGAATGGCTTGATAGGTCAGCAGAACCTCTCCCTGTTGCTGGTGAGGTGGGTCAGAAACTGGTGAGAGACAAGTACAGTTTCTGTGTGTTGATGGGAGAGTAAGACAGATTGCTGAAAGGCCAGGATTTGTCCAATGGTTCCCAATCCTCTTTTCTTCCTGTGTTCTGCCTCCTCCTTAGTTGTGGAGCTACTCTTTCCTTGTTCCTTCCAGGGAGACAAAGGAGATTCAGGGCTGACAGATCAAAGATTCAAAGGTATCATCTCTGGCAATGGCTTCAGGGATGGCCCAACACCTCAGCCAGTCCAACCGCCACAAACTTAGGACTTTTCCAGGAGACAGACAGCTCTTTGTGGGCTTTTACTTGTAAGGTTATTTAACTACCAGATTCTACCGTATGGATTTTCAGAATAAGTCCAAATATGGTTTCAGCTCTTGTGTCTAGCTAGGCCTTTTTAATGATGGAAGTGTATCAGTACCCTTCTTTCTCCCCTAAGCTTGTCATTCAGTAGGAGGAGGCCAGAACGTCATAAATGGATTAAGGATGTACCCTCTAACTGCATGTTCACTTGACATTTACTTGCTGGTGAGACAAAAAAGGTCCTCAACTTCAACATGAGCCTCCTGAAGGCAAAGCAATTGTATGATATTTTACAGGTGAGCTTGGGCAATAATAAAGCCCACCTTGTCACATGAAACAAACTAGGAAGGACCCATGATTTCTTTCTTTTCAAAATTTTTATTGTGATTGAGTGGTTACATAATTTCCCAAATTTCACAGTAATGTGGGATAGAAATGCTTAAAGTCACAAACGCATTCTAACTTTCATGGGGCAAATTGTCTATGATGATTTATTTCTGAAGCCACAGAATGGTAGATCTCACAGAGTTCTATCACAGCAAATTTCTTTTAAAATGTTTGAAAATATGGTTTTTCTAATATCCAAAACTTCTGGAGCTTCTTTTTTTTCTTTTTTCTTTTTTTTGTGTGTCATCCCAAACTTGAGAATGGTTTCTTCCTGCAGAAGCCTATGCCTCTAAAAGCTGTGTTTTGTGTGACCTTTTCCCTTTCCCCTCACAGTATGCATGGAGAGCTGCCACACTGCATGGTTTCTGGATGCAATACAAATGTTACTGTACATTTTTCTGAGGAATAATCCTACTTCTACCCAAGAAGATTGAACATGAAGCAAAACCAGCAGCAGTTGGCAGGTCTGGGAGCTGTGAACTGTTCCCTGAACCACATTTAGCAAACTAATGATTAGCTTCCACTTATTCGTCTCTGTAACCATAGGAATATTGCGTAACATTACAGGGAGTCAAATTACAGTCCGGCTAAAGGGCTTTTTATAGCACTGATGAGGCAAGGCTCCTAACTTGAGCACATCCATTTTAATTCATTTAATATCCAAATTGAATACAGGTTTTCAAGCCACCCCATTTCCAGAAAGTGCTGCCAATTTCCATACCTCCTTCCTGTGCTCCCCTCATTTACAGAAACTTCCTGGTAGCATCTGAATGCGTTGCTGTCATCAACAACTTTTCTGTAGGACTCAGGGTATTTCTTTTCACCAAATCCCTTGACTATTGGAGACTTAAACCCAAACAAATATTTCACAGAGATCTCTCTGCAGACAACATTCTCATCTCTTGGGTAAATACTGTACCAACAAGCAGGACTGTATAAAAGTCCTTAGGACTTTTTGAGGAGTAGATTCTATAGGAAGTACATTTAGAAACTGCCCAATTGTCTTTCCAAACAAGGTTTGGGTTTACAAAAAAGCATCAAGCAGGTGATGAGCAAAAAGGATCACCTCTTCCACCCACTCATGACTGAATTCAGAAAAGTAGGAGAGAGCTAGGCATGGTGGCATGTGCCTGTAATATTACCTATGCAGGAGATACATCTGGATAAAAACAAGAGATGCTGTCTGGAAAATGAACTAAAGTAGAAGTGAACAGGACTGTGGTACAGTGCCATGAGGCCCTGAATTAATACCCCTTTCTTTTCTTTTCTATTATTTTGTTGATTAAAAAAGAAAGAAAAAAAAAGGAAAACTAGGAGATAGACCAGAAGAAGTACTGCAATAGGGTGGTCTCAGAAAGGTCACACTGTACCAATCCTGAGTTATTTAGTTTAAAACTGTGCTGATAGCCCACTTATTTATCAGGCAATTGTTTGAGAATTTGTTGTTGGAGGATTTAATTTTTCCAGTTCCAAGTATATTTTAGATATGAGACCCTTATCCGTTGTATGGATAGTGAAGATCTCCCAATCTGTGGGCTTCTATTGATCTTGCTAGCTATGTCCTTTGCCATGCAGAAACTCTGCAGCCTCATGCAATCCCATTTGTCCAACTTTTGATTTGTTGTGTGTTCTGGTTCTCTATTGAGAAAATTTTGGTCTGTGCCAAGGAGACCTAGTGTTTCTCCTATTCCTTCCTATAATGTTTTCTGGGAGTCTGCTTTGACTTTGAGGTCTTTGATCCATTTGGAGTTGATTCTGGTACAGGGTGACATATGGATCTAACTTTAGTTTCTACAGGTATTTAATCAATTTTGCCAACACCATTTGCTGAAGAGGCTTTCTTCCATTCTATTTTTTTTAGCTCCTTTATCAAAGATTAGGTGGCTATAGGTCTGTGGGTTCACTTCTGGATTTTCAATTCTATTCCATTGGTCCTCAGGTCTCTTCTTGTGCCAGTACCAAGCTGTTTTGATTACTATGACTTTGTAATAGAGTTTGAAATTTAGTATTGACGTTCCTCCGGAACTATTCTTTCTGTTAAGGATCGTTTTTGCTATTCAGGATCTTTTATTGTTCCATATGTATTTTTGGATTGCTTCTTCTATTTCATTGAAGAATAAGGTTGGAATATTAATAGGTATCACATTGAATTTATAATCTTGGAAAGTATTGCCATTTTCATGATGTTGATCCTTCCAATCCAAGAGCATAGAAGGTTTTACTCCTTCCTAAGTTCTGTTTTTATTTCCTTTTTCTGGTTTTTAAAGTTTTCATAATAGAGGTCCTTCACTTCTTTGGTTAAGTTAATTCCTAGGTATTTTATTTTTTGTGGGGCTATTACAAAGGGAGTTGCTTTCCTGATTTCAGCCACGCTCTTCTCATTGTTGGGCATACAAAAGACCCATTGATTTTTGAGGGTTCATTTTATACCCTGCTACTTTGCCAAAGTTTTGAATCAGCTCAAGTAATTTGGGAGTGGCTTCAGTGGGATTCTTTACATACAAGATCATGTCATCTGCAAAGAAGGAGAGTTTTACTTCAGCTTTCCCTATTTGGATCCCCTTTATATTTGCATCTTGTCTTATTGCTGTAGCTAGGCATTCTAATACTAAAATGAAGAGAAGTAGAGAGAGTGGACATCCTTGTCTCATTCCTGAGTTTAGAGGAAATGGCTTTAGTTTTTCACCATTAAGTATAATGTTGGCTGTAGGATTGTCATATACTTCTCTGAAGAGCAAATAAGAATGGCCAATAGACACATGAAGAAATGCTCAACCTCTCTAGCCATAAAAGAAATGCAAGTCAAAACAACACTGAAATTCCACCTCACCCCAGTTAGGATGGCTAGAATCAAGAACTCTAGTAACAACAGATACTGGAAGGGAACCCTATTGCATTGTTGGGGGGAGTATAAACTTGTTCAACCACTTTGGAAAGTAGTATGGAGATCCCTCAAAAGACTCCACATAGAACTCCCCTATAACCTAGCAATCCCACTTGTGGGCATTTACTCAAATGATAACAAACAAGACCATACTAAAGCTACTAGCTCAACTATATTTACTGCAGCATTATTTACCATAGCTAAGAAATGGAACCAACCCAGATGCTCCTCAGTAGATGAATGGATCAAGAAAATGTGGTACACACACACACACACACACACACACACACGCACACACACACACACACACACACACACACACACACACACACACACACACACACTGGAATTCTATGCCTCCGTCAGAAAGAATGACATTGCCCCATTTGTTAGGAAATGGAAAGACTTGGAAAAAATTATATTAAGTGAAGTAAGCCAGGCCCAAAGAAACATAGGTCCTAT